ATGGACTGGAGACCAGTCCAGGGTGTCCCTGTGATGGACTGGAGACCTGTCCAGGGTGTCCCCCACCTCCCGCACAGTGACTGCTGGACATGGGCACCAGTGACCCCCGTGGCCTGAAAAGGAAGAAGCGTGTAAAGATGATGGATGGATGGATGGATGGATGTTGGGCTTTTAGTTACTGAAATAAACTTATTTGCTTTATTGATATTTAAGTATAAGAGTTGTCTAACTTAATGTTGTTGTTTTTTTCTACATTACTGAATTCTAAACGACTTGTTTTGTCTTAAAAATGGTTAAATAAAAAACTAAATAAGTAACGGGAAGAACAAATGGTGAGATTGCGAATTACATAAATACCTGTTATTTTAATATTCAAATTGTTGTTGTTGTTCACTTTTTTTTAATTTTTTTTTTTTTAGAGGAAACCATGTGTGATGACGGCACGAGCACATGAAGTTTACAAAATGTTCACGCCGCCACAAGAATCAACGTCCTTCTCCTGCGTGGCTCTGTTTCCGTTTGTTGCTCCTGATCTCTTCACTTTTGGCAACATTTAAATCAGTTATGCAGCCTAACCTGTATAAACACGTTGGAAACGCATTGCATCACCCGTAATAGAAAGTTGGATCGGTCGTAGGTCTGAGGAAGCTGTGGTTGGTCTGCGTGCTCAGCTCAGGGCTCTTGTTCTTTCTGAATCAAGCTGCTGCAGTTTATTTACCAGCAGAGCTGTATTGTTTACAGACAAATGCACAAGTCTCTCAGTTCCAGCCGCACCTTTGCAGTCTCCGACATGCCTGACTTTGTTTTCTCCTTCTGTTTCTCTTCTTTTTCATGTCCTTAACTGTGACAGAGCAAAGACAAGCTGTCGCCTTTCACCAAAACTCCGAAGCTGGACCGGAGTGAGTCGCTGGGGAAGGAAGGGAAAGCCAAGTCTTCCATGAAGCGCAAGCTTTCCTTCACTACAAGTCCGCCCCGGACAGAGGAGCGAGACTCGGACACTGGTAAGCCTCTGTCCCTGCGTAAACTGGCCCTCTGCTGGCTCGCTGCCATGTTCCAACACCGCCCCCTGGTGGTAAGAAGGGTTCAGTCCTCACCGATCCAGCCAATAAAACCCTTTGATTCATAATCCAGCTACATTCAGCTGTAACATTTTATTTAATATTTGACTAAACCAAAGTCTCTTAAAGGGTTAAAGAAAAATCATTTACATATTCTGCCCCCCCCCCCCCCCCCCCTCGCTCTTGGAATTGGCTCCAGATCCATCTGAATGTAAAAACTAGTAAAATATTTAAATGCACAAAAATCTAGATGTAAATGTTCGGATCGATGGTTTCTGAGGACTGATGAAGAAAATGACTTAGTTTTACCTTTTTATGTTGTTCAGTGATGCGCAAACTTTATTTTGTTCTTTGTTTTATTTCTGTTTTGTTTTTGCCAGAACATTCCTATAAATGAAACTTTAAATCTCAAGTTTTAAAATAAAGAAAATCAATGGAAAAAAAGGTTTAAAATAACTATATCCAATTTAGAATAAAAATGAAATAGGCACATATTTTTGTTTTATCCAGAGTAAAACTAAACAGTTGAGTTGTTTTTCTTACACGTTTTGGACATAAGCAGCAAAGTTTCTCTTGTTAACACTAAAATACTATTTTAGTCAGAGACCATCAGTTCATTACTGGTTTTATTCACGCATTGGGAAGCTTTTATTGCTGTTAAGGCAGCATAATGAGCTGTTAAGTACTGTTGGGTTCACTTGTTTTGTCCTGCTCCACATGCACACACAAACCTGCTGAAAAAAGTTCAAACTTGTTCACTTTTATGGAAAATAATCGTTATTATGTGGGAATTGTTTGATCCATAATCACCACATTTGTGCCGAATATTGTGCAAACTGAAGGGAGAACCCTTCATTACAAAACCCCGTCTCTTCTGTAAAATAAATCTGGGTTCCTCTGGAGTTTAGCACATTATTTATTTATTTTACAACAGAAACCAAAGATAAGTTCAGTTTCTAAAATGTTTTCTATGGGTTTAAAATTCAGGCTGCAATATCTGTTTGTAGTTTTTTGAAAACTCATTTATAAAGGTCACAACAAAAATGAGTCACAACGAGGGGTTTTTCAATATTATTTTCAAATTCTTCATCTCAACAGCCTCTAAGTTTGATGAAATGTTGTAATTTATCACCTGGAAACAACGTAGTTTTGTTTATGAAACCACCTGTTTGATGACTAGATTGTTGATCTGCAGGGATGTCATTGGGAATTTTAGCCCTGCATTTTGATGAAAGAAAATTACCCAAGCTTCAGAATGACACTGAACATTATACGAAGGGATTTCCCAGCACTACAGCAGCTGCCAGGGAAAACGGTCATGGCTTAAGACAAAAGATTGTTTCTGAAGACATCCAGATGCCCTGAGATGACGTCTGTTGTGACTTGGCTCCATATAAATAAACTGAATTGAATTGATTTAGAGTAGATTAGGAAAACTGTAGTTACTTGGATCAGCGGAGGATGTCTTTATGGACTCGTTTTTAAATCTTAATGACTAAAATCCACTTGTGATGTTTTTTATGTTGCAGCCTGATTCAACCTGCCTTTGGTTTTATACAAGAAACTGGGAATATTATTTTTTAGTCAATAATGTGTATTGACATGAAATTATATGAAGGATACTGTATGCCTTTCCAATATTTTAGATCAGTTTGTTTTTCTTTTTGTTAATATTTGTTTTTAGTTGAAACGTGAATAAATGTGAATTCATACTGATGCATTCATGTTGTCTTGTAAATTAAATGAATATTAGAATAAATAATATTAAAATAAACAGATTTATATATTTGCATGTCTGATAAAGAGTGCATATATATATATATATATATATATATATATATATATATATA